TAGAAAAAGAAAAAACAAAACAAAACCAACAAACGTAAGCCTCCTTGAATCATCCACTGTAGGCAAGCGTCCACTTAATGCAACAGAACACAGTCCTAAACTGAGTCACGATCGTTCTTTCTGTAGCTCCAGAGGTATTGAGTTTGGATCGCAAACAACATGGGTCTGCGACCTCTTGATCGCGAGGAGGCCACTGTCGGCCTTGCTGATCCTGGTGTCCCACCCCCGTCAGGCCTGGTGGACACGACGGGCTTTGTAGAAAGACCAGTGGACGCACCTGATGGAGTAAAAGACTGGAAGGAGGGGCAGGAGAAGCCAAGGAACGTGCCCTTGTTTTGAAATGGGTGCAGGGGTTGGGGGGCGCTGGGGGACTCCTGGGCGGCTCAGACGGTTAAACGTCCGACTTCAGCTCGGGTCATGATCTCACGGGTTTGTGGGTTCGAGCCTCGTGGTGGCGTCTGTGCTGACAGCTCAGAGCCTGGAACCTGTTTCCGATTCTGTGTCTCCCTCTCTCTGTCTGTCCCTCCCCTGCTGTGCTCGGTGTCTCTCTCTCTCTCTCTCTCTCTAAAATAAATAAATGTTTTAAAAGTGGGTCCGGAAACCTGAAAGCTCTGGGGCAGTCACAGCCCGCCTGGCCATGAAGTTGCCACGGGCAATTTTCTTTCTGACAGAGCTTGGAGCAGCCTGAATCCCAGCCAGCTCTCACCGAGTCAGGCCCGGCCCACCCTCCGCTCCCGGGGAGGGACCCTGGCGCGCATGTGGTCTCAGCGGGGATGTCGAGCTCCCAGCAAACACGGCCAGAGGCTGCATGGGTGGGAGACAGAGCTCAGAGGGCCTGCAGCGTAGCCTGGGGCCCACGGCCATCATTTGTCAACGTGCGGTGGCAGCGGCCGTGAGAGCTGTGTGCCGTGTCTGGTCACAAAGTGTCATCTCTCTGCAGGCAATGGGATTTCACAACTAAGGGAAACAGCTTTGCCAGGCACCAAAAATGGAATCCCTGCTCCGGTGGCGGAGAGAAGAGAGGGGGGTCGGAGGAGAGCGATGGGCAGGAACCCTACGACTATTATCAGTTTGAATCAGTGGGATCATAGTTACCATCTTATTTTTTTTCCTGAGTATTTTCCTGAGTATTTTCTGATGTCTCGCGATATCCCTCGGAAGTAGGAAAGGCTGGGGTATTAGATTCTTATTTAACAGTTGAAGGAACTGAGGCTCGGAAGGGACCGCACACACGGGAAATCAGGCCTGATTCTCAACGGAAGGTGACACCGGGAAGACCTGTAGCGTCTGGGGTCCCCGCAGGAAACAGATGGCACTCTTCAAAGAGGTGACTCACAGGGGCATAAGGAAGGGACTGTTGACAACGGTGTGTAAAGAGAGTGAAGCATCCCAGGGCCACCAAGAGCGGGAAAGCCCTTGCCACCATGCCCAGGCCTGCAGGGGCGAGGAGAGGGAGCAGCTTCTGGAACTCTGGGGAGAGCGTGCCCACGGGAGAGGGCCACCAGGCAGGAGAAAACCCCATTCCTCTTTCCTCCCACCCCCTCCCATTTCCTGTCGGTTGGTGCCTCCCGTGGGCCAAACCCAACTGGAAGCCAGAGGGCAAATATGGCCCGTGTTGTGTTCCTGTCCGTGAGGTCAGCTTCCCACAGCCGGGAGCCAGCGCAGAGCAAATCTGGGGGTTGGGGTGGGGGGTGGAAGACGTCCTGCCGTGATCCGCTGCGCGCTTTGTGGCAGAAACCGTCCTTGGGGACGTCTGCGACGGTCACCTATAATCCTCGCTATGACCCTGCGTGGCGGGTATGAAGCCTCAGGTGGCCGACTCATGTGTGTAAAGGTCAAAATTTTGTGTTTCTAGAATGTCACTGCAATGTGGGGCCTCCGTTATTCTGACAGGTGGCGGAAACGTTATCTCAGCCGGCTCGTGGTTTCTTCAGCCGGTTCCGGACCCCAGCGCGGCGCAGGCCCTGAGACACCTGCCCCAGGGCCTTCACGCACACCCACGGGACTCCCAGAATGCCCAGCCAATAGTGGTTTCTCTCCCCGCTTCCCCGCCGACATCTCAAGGCATCCTTGTTCCCGCCTGGTCTCTTGTCCTCAGATCAGATGCACGCGTGCCTGTCCCAACTGTAGGATCCCTCTAGGTCCTGTTCTCTTTTGCCCCTCTGGAAAGCCCAGAAACCTTTGGGTGTTGTCCTGTCGTTCTGCTGGGGGCGGGGGGCAGTCCCTAGGGGCTGTCTCTGTCCTGTCAGCATGCAGCCTTCTCCATCTACCTCTCTCGTTTGGACCTGTGGGGAAAGTCTCTGGGACGTGCCCCTTCAGGGCTCCGCTCGGGAAGCGAGGCTAAAGTCCTCTTTGGAGCCAAGTCCCCAAATGGATCTGGAGCTTTCGTTGTGCCCCTTTCCCCTGGGGGCCTGCTCTAGGATCCTTTTCTTGGGGTCACATGGCAGTATCTACCCAGCCCTCTGGCCGACCTCCTTCTCTGCCACCGCCTCTGGCCCGCAGAATCTTTAAGCAACAAATACTTTGGGGTGTTGGGAAATCGCTCTGAGGAGACAGGTATGCTTCTGTTTCCAAATATACTCTTCATGCATTGACTTTATCTTCTAAATCATGCGAGGATTGGGATTTTGAAACTCGAAAGTCTAGATCTGGGCAGCCCAGAGTCCTTTCTCTTAAACTTTTTTTTTTTTTTAATCTCCACCGTGGCAATAATTGAAACTTCAAAACCAAGACGTGCCACCTCGGTTGTCTGCCTTCGCCTGGGGCACCCCTTTCCTGGGGTAGGAAGCCTCAGCTGCTATCTGAAAAAGAAGAACCTCTAGCTCCACGAACTTCCCAGAATGCAAGTGACAGCAGTTACGGCATAGATGGCTTTCCCACGAAGCTAATGAGCTTACGGTTCGGGGTCCGTTGCTTTCAAGGGTCTCGGAAGAGACTCAAGTAACGGATTCATGGATTCATGTATTTTTTCTAAAACATGCAAAATTTAAGATGTTTTAAAACTACCGTGAGTTAAGACCGCTGTCTCCCGCTCAGACTCTGCATTACATTCTATCCACTTTGGGTGGCGCTCTAGTGGCCGTGGGTGTCTGAGAGCCTTAGCCAAGGAGAAGTTGAGCTGTGTCTGCGCAGTGGCATCGTCAGTTCAGGGCAAGAGCAGCTATACCCTAGACTTTAGAGGGTCCCGCTCTTTTCTCCTCTGGCTTCACCCCTACACTTAGGGTACGGAGTCTACAGGACCAAAGAGACAAGTGCCCCGGGGACCTTCAGCCTCTTCTGGACCACACCCCAGGTGTGGCAACTAGGGAAGTTGCCCGTGAGAACTCCCTTCATGAAGAGCGTGCCGCAGGGAGAGCAGTTAGCCGGGATCCTGTCACCATTGAGCTCCCAGGATGTTTAAGCCAAGGCCGTGCTTCTCCCAGGCAGCCCTCAGCCAATGACGATGTGTGCCAGGGTCCTAGCAGCTGGCCGTTGCTGCCCAGTGGGGGCCTCTTCTAATGGGCCATCCTTTTATTTTTAACGCGTATTTATTTTTGAGAGAGAGAGAGAGAGAGAGAGAGAGAGACATGGAGTGTGAGCAGGGGCAGGACAGAGAGGGAGATACAGGATCCGAAGCGGACTCCAGGCTCCGAGCCGTCAGCCCAGAGCCCGACGCAGGACTCGAACTCACAGACCACGAGATTCATGACCTGAGCTGAAGTCAGATGCTTAACCGACCGAGACACCTGGGTGCCCCTAATGGGCCCTCCTTGTACCGCAGTTCCCGATTGGGTTGGCTAAGACTCCAAGTAGGCATTTCAGTCTGTGTCTGTTGGCCTCGTCTCCTTCCTTACCTCCTTCCCCAGGTTTCCGATTTGCCCTGTGGAGTCTTTCCCCACCCATTCCCGCTCTCCCCTCTTGTAGTTTCTACAGGGATTACCCCCAGTAACCTCTAATACTCCCGGGGCACCTGGGTAGCTCAGTCAGTTAAGCATCCGACTCTTGGTTTCACCTCAGGTCATGATCTCATGCTTGGTGAGTTCAAGTCCCGCATCAGGCTCTGCGCTGACAGTGCGGAGCCTGCTTGGGATTCTCTTTCTGTCCCTCTCTGCCCCTCCCCTGCTCCCTCTCTCTGTCTCCCTCTCAAAAACAAATTAATAAAAACTTAAAAAAAAATAAACCTCTACTACTCGCACCTCTGTCTCAGCTGCTGCTTTTGGGAGGACCAGCCTGACACGCTCCGGAGAAAGCAGGCAAGAAGGTGTGGTCTGGGGACCTGACCAGTTACCACTGGGGGGGACTTGATCCCAGGGAGTATGTACACAGATCACAGAGGGTCCCCGCAGCAAGGGGGAAGCCAATAGTCATCATCTTCACTGACATCGACTTGGGAGAATGTTCCGATGGTGGGAAAACCCAAGCAGTGCAATACTTCAGGCTTTGGAAAGGTAGTGGGGCGTGAAGGTCAAGGGGTACAGAACAGATATATAAAGACCGTGAGATCCAGTGGTTGCCTCAGGTTGCACTGACCTTCTAGAGAGAGAGAATGAAAAACCAAGGGCAATTGACAAACAATAGAAATCTCAATGCGAAAGCCAAAAGGACGCTTTGGTAGCTCCCCAAAGGCTCGTGTCTCCTGCCATGGGAGAGGAGGACAATCCAAAAATGAAACTCAGGGTCAAAGGTGGAGTCGCCAAGCTTCACTGATGGTTGAATACTCAGCCACAGCAGGTTTGTTATGGGTCTGACGCGTGGGATGGGGTCACCTGGGTGGACACCCCTGGTAGTCCTGGCTCCCGAGACTCCTCTGAACCCTCTGAATCACTTCTCTTACCGTGACGTTGGGATTTAGGATAAAAAAATACATTACAGTAAAGCCTTGGTTTGCGAGCATAATTCACCCTGGAAGCATGCTCGTAATCCAAAGCACTCGCGTATCGAAGCGAATGTCAAGAACCATTGGCTCAGTTGTGATCATGTGACGTTTGGCCTCATGTGCTACTCGTATTGCAAGACATCGCTCGTTTATCAACTTAAATTTTATTAGAAATGTTTGCTCGTCTTGCGGAACACAAGTTCCTCGCAATCTGAGGTTTTACTCCACTCGGTCTTTGTCCCCATTTCTGGCACGGAGCTTCTTAGAATTTCCTAGGTGCCATAAAGGTATCTTGTGTTATGGCAAGCAACCCAGGCATCATGGCAGAATGTTGTAGAACTAAAAGCCACACCATGAAATGAATGAGTTCAGGCTGCAAAAGGAGGGGGTTGTGGAGGAGAAGCAAGTCAGAATATGTCCGTGGAAAATTCTCCCAATTACTAAAATTCTTCACAATCTTACAACATAAAATTGCAAACAGAATTTGGCTCTTATTGACATCTATTCAAAACTGTCAATCACAAAAAATAACTTTTTAAAAAAAAATAATTTAGTTCAAGTTGGCTAACATACAGTGTCTACAGTGTGCTCTTGGTTTTGGGGGTAGATTCCCATGATCCATCGCTCACATACAGCACCCAGTGCTCATCCCAGCAAGTGCCCTCCTCAATGCCCATCACCCACTTCTCCCTCTCCCCTGATTCCCCCCCATCAACCCTCAGTTCGTTCTCTGTATTTAAGTCTTTTAGGGTTTGCCTCCCTCCCTCTCTGTTTGTAACTATTTTTTTCCCTTTCCCTTCCCCCCCTGGTCTTCTGTGAAGTTTCTCAAGTCCAACATATGAGTGAAATCATATGACATCTGTCTTTCTCTGCCTGGCTTATTTCACTTAGCATAAGACCCTCCAGTTCCATCCACATTGTTGCAAACGGCTTTCATTTGTTCTCATTGCCAAGTAGTATTCCATTGTGTATATAAACCACGTCTTCTTTATCCATTCGTCAGTTGATGGACATTTAGACTCTTTCCATAAGGTGGCCATTGTTGAAAGCACAGCTATAAACATTGGGGTGCCTGTGCCCCTATGCATCAGCACTCCTGTATCCTTTGGAGAAATTCCTAGTAGTACAATTGCTGCATCCTAGGGCCGTTCTATTTTTAATTTTTTGAGGAAACTCCACACTGAAAAACCAGACTTTGATCAACCGGGCTAGGGAATGGACTGAATCAACTTTCAACTCTCTATAGAAAATGCTATTACAGAGGCTCCTGGGTGGTTCAGTCGCTTAAGTGGCCGACTCTTGTTAGCAGCTCAGGTTGTGATCTCGCTGTTGTGAGATTGAGTCCCGAGTTGGGTTCCGCACTGAGCAGAGCCTGCTTGGGATTCTCTTTCCCCCTCTCTCCCTGCCCTTCTCCCCCGCTCTCTCTCTCTCTCTCAAAATAAATGAATAAACTTTAAAAGTTAGAAAAATAAGTGTATTTAAAAAAAAAGAAAATGCCGTGATCATGATCATAGGAGGAGCTATCAAAGTATACACAGCCAAAAAAAAGGCAGAAAAAAGTATGATAAAAGCATATAAGTTAACTAATAAAATATGTTACTTTTCTGGATTTTGGGGCCCTTATGGTATTTGTTCTTCAACATTTATTTATTTATTTTTGATATGGAGGCAGGGGAAGGGCAGAGAGAGAGAGGGAGACACAGAATCCGAAGCAGGCTCCAGGCTCCGAGCTGTCAGCACAGAGCCCAACGCGGGGCTCGAACTTATGAACCGTGAGATCATCACCCGAGCCAAAGTTGGTCGCTTAACCGACTGAGCCACCCAGGCACCCCTAGTCTTTTTTTCTTAAATTGCAATTTGTTGTGACTTCTTTCTCCTCAGTAACTATTCCCTTTCATATTTAATTTTGTACTTGTAAGTTTCTATTCTTCTTAAAGAGGCTCCTCCAGACCGAATGAGCCTCAGGTCCCACAAAACCTGGGTCCCTTCCTGAATGAATGTTATTATCGTGAGCCCATCATTGTGGTCAGGTGGACAAGATTGCCCCTGTTTTACAGAAAAGAAAACTGAAGGCCCACAGATGAAGTTGCTTACTCATCCTGGCTCTGAATGCTCTCTCGGCTAGGTTCTGGGATCTTCCTGCTTCCTGCTCCTTGGCTCTCAGCCTGCTGCGTCTACCCCCCAGGCGAGGCAGAGGGGGACACTAACTGGGAAGAAGACGCCGCCCTAGTTAAGCCTCCGCTCTGGCTGTGCGGCAGCCCCAGGGTGGGGACGCGGGGACGGGGCGGGATGACAGCAGAGAACTACGGCCCACGCAGTGGCTTTTGCAGGACAAAGCAGGGGCACCTCCAGGCACTGGGTCCCCGGCCAGGACCCCGCAGCTTCGGGGAGTTGCTGGTGTGGCTTAACCCTGATGTCACCAACAGACGCGGGAAGGAAGGTGGCGAAGGATTGCACATCTGTGCTTCTTCATTTCCGGAAGCCGTGGGCCGGGCACAGAGAGGCCTGCTGGGGACAGCCAGAACCTGACCCCGGTTCGGTAGGGCCCCTGAAGGCACCTGACTCGTCCCTCAGCTTCGGGCCCCTGGACACTGCTTTGGCCAATCAGGCTGTTAAGAATTACAAAGGCATTGCCTCTTAGAGCAGAAAGAACCTACGTGTCGCTGAATCTAGCAATTCCACTCTGGTGGGGCAGAGAATCCATAAGGACAATATAGAGACTTGTTCCAAAAGCCAAATGTATTCGATTTAAACCCTGTCGTTTTGGCTTAGATTTGTTCCCATTGTTTTTTTTGTTTGTTTGTTTGTTTGTTTTTAAATCTCCGTTTGGTGTTAACATATCCCTTATGAGGGGCGCCTGGGTGGCTCAGTTAAGCATCGGACTCTTGATTCCTGCTCAGGTCATGATCTCTCGGTTTTCGAATTCAAGCCTCGCGAGTTCAAGCTTTCGAGGATCGTGCTTAGGATTCTCTCTCTCTCTCTCTCTCTCTCTCTCTCCCCCCCTCCGTCTGGCCCTCCCCTCCCCTCCTCGCTCGCACTCTCTCAAAAATAAAAAAATAAAAAATAAATTTTTAATTACGAAAAAAAAAAGAGAAAACTTAAAAAAACTGTCCCTTAGGAAATAATGGTGAGAGTGATAGTATTTATAAGTTTTGTTGTGTGTTGCCCCGTGCTGGGCATTGCGCTGAAAGCTTTACCTTTTTTCTCATTTTTCTAATGTTTATTTTTGAGAGACAGAGACAGAGTGTGAGTGGGGGAGGGGCAGGCAGAGAGGGAGACACAGAATCCGAAGCAGGCTCCAGGCTCAGACCTGTCAGCACAGAGCCCGACGCGGGGCTCGAACTCGTGAATCAGGAGATCATGACCTGAGCTGGGGCCAGACACTTAAGTGACTGAGCCACCCAAGCACCCCTCCTTGTGTCTCATTTAATCGACCCAAGAACCCTACAAGGTGGATGCTAGTGTGAATCCAATTTTGCCTCCAAAGAAACAAAGACACAGCACATGCTGTGGAGCTAGGACCTGAGCTGTGGCCCTGTGACGTCACTGAACATACTTAGTCATCTCACCATCCTGCTTCTGGAGAGTAAACGTGCAATTGGATTGTTATGTCTTCATCTCACAAAACGAACGTCTGGAAAACTTGCTGGAGCCTGGTGCTTCCTTAAAGAACTTGTACTGGGGCGCCTGGGTGGCTCAATCGGTCAAGCATCCGACTTCAGCTCAGGTCACGATCTCATAGTTCGTGGGTTCAAGCCTCACATCTAGCTTGCTGCTTGCTGTCAGCACAGAGCCCTCCTCAGATCCTCTGTTCCCCCGCTCCCCCTCTGCACTTCCCCGCTCACTTTCTCTCTCTCAAAAATAATAAACATTTGGGAAAAAAAATTAAAAAAAAAAAAAAGACCTTGTACTGGTCTAGAAATCAGGAATCCCAAGAGCCATTGAGATAGCCCATCAGATCGATTTGACCAAGGCCCAGGAAGACGAACTGAGTTACCCAGTGTCTCCCAGCAGGTTGGAGCAAAATTAGACAAAGAGAAGACACATTTTCAGCATTTGTGAGACAAGAAAATTGGGGGGTTTCCTTTGATCTGGACAATGGCCGACTCAAAGAAAGACAGCCTCTAGAAGTAAATCCAGAAAACAATTCTTCTAACCTATGTTTCCCCAGGGACATCTTGGCTTTGACATTGTACTGCGGTGTAGGCTCCGGGAATGTCTCCACATTCTTCAACGGAATGGGAATTTCCAGGCCTTGGGTTCCTACCGGATGCTGCCTCTCAAACCTACCAAGGAGCGTCTGGAGGCACGTTCTCGCCTCTGCCTCTGCGGCACCCCCTCCCACTCGAGGAGCAGCGGCTTTCCAGTTGGCTGTCTCCATGGTGAAGGTGCGAGAAAGCGAGAGTTCAGCCGGTTTCCCTGGCAACGGCAAGGGAGAGCTTGTTGCCTTGGTGATGCCGAGGCAAGCGAGGCGATGGGACTCAGAGTATCTGTCCTCTGCCCCCGCTCCCACCCAGCACAGGTCCTACCCTGGCAGGCGGGCTTGGGGTGCGACACATTAGGTCACCTTTGGGGTTCTTCGTTGCCTCATGGGGCAATAATAGGATCTAATGGGGCTAATGTTAGGATCAACCTCTTGCGGCCGTAAGGAAAGCAAACATACGTGCCGGTGAAGGGTAACCATTGTTATTATGCAGTAACTACCCTCGCACGCTAATAACCGTTGTTATTACAAGGCAGAAAGGGAGGCAAGTTGAATGTACCAAGACCATTTTAGGCAAGAGGAAGCGGGAGCCCGGGGATGGCAAGCGACTGCCTGAGTTTCAGCATGGTCAAGTTCTGCTGGAGCGGGAAGCCAGATATTTGGACTCGAAATCCAGCGCTGTTTCCACCCACCCCCTCTCCTCTTGCACAGTAGACACGCCCGGCCGCCGGCCGGGCCTGCCCTGGTCTCCCCGCCTCAGTCAGAGAGGCCGGAAGCAAAGCGTCTAGTCCCTCCCTCCCCCACGGCTCCCACGGGTCGCGCCGTTAAGCCCGAACCGCGTCACCACGAGCCTCTGGATGATGGTCAGAACAATTAATAAGCACAAGATGGGAATAGTGAATTCATTTAGCCAAGTCTTCCCATGCCATAAATTACTGAAATCAGTCCAGACGCAAGTCTGATGGAATGCTTCACTGCTTCGCTACACGGTTTTGGCATCGCCTCGCCTCTAATGGCATTCCTGAATCATACAACTTATGAATTATTAAGGTTTTTACTTGTGTGATCCATTAGTTATGTAGAAAGCGATACATCATTCGGGGAAGACGACTGGCTTTGGAACTAACCGGACTCGGAACCAAATGCTAAATTCCACCGCGGACGAGCAGTGTGACTTTGGACGAGTTCACAAACGTATCTGAGCATCAGTTTTCTGACCTGTGACACAGCCGTATGATAATAACGCCTCCTGGCAAATTTGCTGTGAGGTGTGGAGATAATGTATCTAAGACGGCTGGCACGCGTAAGTCATTCAAACAACGGGTCCCCTTTCTCATTAGACACAAGCGGTCTCGTCACGTTTCATAGCTTGTTCTGTGTCCGCGGCTCCTGTCCATCTTCTTTCTGTTGGGGGTGTGTTCCAGGAAGGAAAGACCATGCCTTACAGGTTTCTGCAGCTGCACCTGCAGGGGACAGTTCGGGAAGGGTTCGCTGAGGTCAGCATGGGCCCTTGGTTCCTTCGTATGCAATGCTGGGAGCAGAGGAGCTTAACGATTTCAGCCTGAAGCCGGTCATCTCCACCCAGGTCAGATAGCACAGGGAGCTGCTCAGCTAAAATCTTTCACAGCGTGCTCTCCAAGGCTGGCTGGGTGTGCCCACGTTGAGGGCTGTCGGTCACAGCCATAGGACTGGGTCCTGGCTGGCTTGGACCGCATGATCCTCCCGCCCCCCCAGCACCCGTGTCTAATTGCATCAGAAGTTAATATCCGACCACAGTCCACCAATAAAATTGTATCACCCAGGAATTTAGGATTGGGTCCAAGAAAGAGTTGAGTTAGTTTCTTAATATCATTCAAATACTTGTATAGAAAGCCTGGAATGGATGTTTAGCCACTGGCCATCACGAGGCCCTTGATCTGGGGGGAGGCACGCACACACGTGCACACACAGGCACTCGCATTGGTGTGCAGGTGCAGAATTCAGGGACAGAGGTCTCGGATCACGGACCGGATCGTTTTCTGAGTCCTGGCAACACTTCTGACCTTGGGTTTGGTGAAACACCGTATAATAAATCCCCCCTCTGGCTTCTGTTGTTGCTCTTAAACTAAGTCAAGTTGCTTTCTGTCACTTGTAACCAAAGCATCCTGAGCCACGTAATCCCTTACAGCAGGGAGGCACAGGATGGAGGGCAGAGACTATGCTATGATCCCCTTGAAGGAATTCGGTTCACCAAGGTACAACTCCTCAGACTTTAGATTTTTTTGTGTGTGTTTATTTTTGAGAGAGAGAGGGAGAGAGAGAGAGAGCATAAGCAGGGGAGGGGCAGAGAGAGGGCGAGCCACAGAATCTGAAGCAGGCTCCAGGCTCTGAGCTGTCAGTCGAGAGCCCGATGTGGGGCTGGAACTCACGAACCGTGAGATCGTGACCTGAGCCGAAGTCCGATGTAACTGACTCAACCACCCAGACGCCCCTCACTCCTCAGACTTTAAATAATAATAAGGCAACTCCCACCTGCTGTGCAACAAGGTCACGAACTTTTCTCATCTCAGACCCTCCTCAACATAAAGACCCTGCAAAGGCAGGCAGACATCAGCTTTTCCAGAAACCCAGCCGTGGGCCCCTAAGACAGTGAATTCAGAATCACCCGCGAGAAGGCCCAAGATGGCGGTGCACCCAGAAGCCTGAACCAGGCCAAAGGTCGTGCAGCGGCGTAGCTCAGAGACGAGGAGCCTCTGGGTGCCAGTCTCTGAAGGTCTGTCATGAGGAAGAAGGGAGAGGTGGGTGCCGGTACAGGGTGGGCCCCCCAGGAAGCCGGCTCGGAGAAGAGTTTAGGGACAGGATGTCTGTGAAGGAGCGTCACCGGAACCATCCCCTGAGGAGGGGGCAGGAGGGAAACAGGACTGGGCAGAGGGAGAAGGTGAGGCCCAACAAGAGAGCCCACAGAGAACACAGTGACCTTCGCAGCTGTCTCCCTTCGGACCGAGCTGACGAAGCCTTTATACCTTCCCCGGTAGATGCGGCTCCCACACAAAGGGTAGAGCCTCGGACCAGCCAGCTGTCTGCAGCTGAGGCAAACCCCGAGGAAGCCGACAGCTCAGTTGTCTGAGGACAGCCTTCCCAGCAGCTGGGGGAAGCAAGTTCTCCAGGAAAAGCAGGGTCTGGTGGCACATCACGGTGTCCTCCAAAAATACGCCGAAACCTGAGCATGTTAGCCAGCAGTGACCCGGACTCGAACCAGGCTCTGCGGGCTGTGTGAGCTTGGGGAAGCCTCTGAGCCTCTCTGAGCCAGGCCTGAAAATGGCACCCGTGATACCTATTTGGCAGGGTTGATTCGAGATCGAAAAGCTAACACGTGTGGCCGGCACCAGCCGGGGCAGAGCAAGGAGACAGAGCAAGTCAGGTGGCTGGCTGGCTTTCGCTGATAAACACTCAGCCACCGTGGATATCATAAACGTGACGGTTCCGACCAGAAGGGCCACAACCTCTGTTTCTTTATGGCCTAATGAAGCCAGATGCCAGGCAGGGAACCACAAAACTGACGGCTATTCCTGAAACCTTTGGAACGTACTGGTTGTTCTGTGACTGAGGACTCCATTACCCTTGCGCTAGGGATGGGGCACATTCACACACCTCACCTGGGGCTCTCATTCAAATCTGGCCAAAATCTGTGGGGACTCGGTCATCCTGAGCGACGCTGGCCGGACAACACCCTTGTGAAGCTGGAGAAGCAGTTACGACAAGCAGTCCCAATACACACGTGCGCGCGCACACACACACACACACACACACACACACACACTGTCTTAGAATAGGCAGATTTTCACAGATAACCATCTGTAAAACCAGCGGAGGCTCACGTAAAAACCAAACCAAACCAAACCAAAAAACCCCCAAAACTCATTTCAAGGGTGAGAACAGAGCCATCCGTGGCTCAGATAATTAGGAGAATTGAAATCATGTTTGCCTCCCAAGTTTGCAGGGAGTAGGAGGCAGCGGGATATTTTTATTCCCGGTGACCTAAATGCTGTGTCATAAACAGACCAGTCGGAAGGTCCCAAGCCCAGCAGCCTTATTTTTTTTCCCCAATTATTTTTTTTTATTGTGGTAAAGTACGTATACCGTAAAATTTGCCATCGTAACCGTTTGTGAGGGTGCGTTTGAGTGGTGTTAAATATGTTCGTGGTGTGGTACAACTATCACCACTAGCCGACTCCCGAATTCTTTCCTCTTGGAAGACTAAAGCTCAGGGGCACCTGGGTGGCTCGGTCGGTGAAGCATCTGACTTCAGCTCAGGTCATGATGTTGAGTTCATGAGTTCGAGCCCCGCGGCCGGCCCTGTGCTGACAGCCCGGAGCCTGGAGCCTGCTTCTGATTCTGTGTCTCCCTCTCTCTCTCCCCCTCCCCTGCTCACACTCTGTCTCTGTCTCTCAAAAAATAAAATAAAAACGTTAAAAAAATTAAAAAAAAAAAAAAAAACTTAAAGCTCTCCACCCATGAGAAAATAACTCTCCATTCACCCCTTCCCCTGGCCCCTGGCAACTGCCATCTAACTCTCTCATTTTACAGCTAAGGAAACCACAGCCCAGAGAGGGCCAGCAACTTGTTAAAGACACGCAGGCCATCTGTGGCTGGTTGAGGACTCAAGCCAGGTCCCGGGAGTCCTGGTCCTTTGCGTTGCTCTTTCCTGTCTCTTATTCGTGGGCCCAGAAGTACAGGGCGTGGTCAGCGGGATCCCCGAGCGATGCCAGTCCGGACTTGAACCTGTAGGTAATAAATCACCATCCTATGTGACCTCTGGCTTTGCAAGCAGGGAAGAGCGATAGGGATGGGGAAGGAAAAGTGGAAGGTGGAACAGACACTCTCTTTGTTTCCTAGAGCTGCCGTGACAAAGTACCACACACTGGGTGCCTTAAATAACACAAGGGTATTCTCTCACAGGCCGGAAGCTGAAAGTCCAAGATCCAGGTGTCGGCGGGGCGTGCTGCTCCCCAGAGCTATGAGGGAGAGTCTCTCCTTGGCTTGTAGATGGCCGTCCTCATGTTCACACAGAGTCCAACCTGTGTGTGTGTGTGTGTGTGTGTGTGTGTGTGTGTGTCCTGAGTCCCTTTTTGGAAGGATGCCATGCGTATTGGTCAGTAGCCCATGTTACCCCCAGGCTGACCTCATCTTCATTAATTACATCTGCAATTGACCCTATTTCCAAATAGGTTCACGTTCTGAGGGACTGAGGGGTTAGGATTTCAGCATATGAATGGGGGGGGGGCAGAAGATTCAGCTTATAGCAGAGGCCCCTCCTTTATTCATTGGTCCAGAAGGACAGAGAGACCCACACGCTGACGAACTCAGGCATAGTCTCGTGTGGATTTGGCAACATGACACATGGTATCATGGGTCAACAAGAAGAGGGTGGGCTAGTCAATAAATAACCCAACGATGGGGCGCCTGGGTGGCTCAGTCGGTTAAACGTCCGACTTCGGCTCAGGTCACGATCTCGTGGTTCGTGAGCTCCAACCCCGCATCGGGCTCTGTGTTGACACCTCAGAGCCTGGACCCTGCTTCGGATTCTGTGTCTCCCTCTCTCTCTGGCCCTTCCATTCTCTCTCTCTCTCTCTCTCTCTCTCTCCAAAATAAACATTAAAAAAAAATTTTAAAAAATGTTTTTAACGTTTGTTTATTTTTGAGACAGAGAGAGCCAGAGTATGAACGGGGGAGGGTCGGAGAGAGGGAGACACAGAATCTGAAACAGGCTCCAGGCTCTGAGATGTCAGCACAGAGCCCGACGCGGGGCTCGAACTCACGGACCGTGAAATCATGACCTGAGCCGAAGTCGGCCGCTTAACCGACTGAGCCACCCAGGGGCCCCCCAAAAATTTTTAAATAACCCAAAGAGCTCAGCAATTCCACTCCGAGGTATGCCCACTCAACTCCAGTTGGGAGATGCGACATAGCCCTGTGTGAGAATATTCACCGAAGCGTTGTTTA